GGTGAACAGTGATGATCGAAGTGGCTCTGACAGAAATCAAATAAGGAGAAAGCTCAGAATACACCTGGAGTTCAAAAATTGACAGTGAATAATTTGGTAGTCAAAAATCACAAAACTTGTATCCAATATAGGGTCTTATTTGAAAGTCTTCATTGTTTAAATTCTGTGGATTAGTGTTTTCTGAATTTAAAATTCCTCACTGATTGTAAAAGATTCTAATACAATTATGTTTCATCTGTACTTTGCGTGTAGAGTGAAGTAACAGTGAGAAATGTAGAAGGAAAGTGCATGCCTAGGAGGAAGCACTGGCAGAAGGGCAAATGGGGAAATGTAAAATGGAAAGGAGAACAAGCTTCTGTACTATTAAAATGATAAGATTCTAGAATAGCCTTCAAACGGGCCAAAAAAAAAAAAAAAAAAGAGAAAAAAATCCTAAAGAAATCTAATTTCTAAGAGAGAAATATTTATAGGGGATCTATGGGGAAACTTGCACTCTTGCACTTTGGGCAACTCAGAGTTACCTTTTTAGTTAGCCCGATCTGTTCACCTCTTCTCTTAAAAAGTATACACAATCATCTTTGATAGTTGTTTACCTAACCTTCAAGATAGTGTTTGCATAGTTAACTTGGCTCATTTTTGAGTCTTACACATAGAAATAATTAGCTAGGATCTAGCAATTTTTTTTTTTTTTTTTTTTTTTTTTTTCCCTGCAAATGAACAGGTTGCTTTTGTCCTCAGTGGACAAAAATCTGTCTTGCTTACTATTTTTATGACTTTTTTTTTTTTTTTTTTATGTACAGGAAGGCTTTCATCAAGCTCCTTCTTAATTTTTCTCAGTTCTAAACATATTCAGTCCCTTCAGATTTTCTTTACAGCAGATGTTCTCTAAACTTGCTGGTTTTGACACTTCTGCAGATTTGGTCTATATCTTGGTTAAATAGAGTGCCCCAAATGGACGTAATTTATGCTGAGGACACTCTGTTCCTAGCTGAGGAGAAAACTCTCTCTTCCTGTTGAAATACTCCTGTTAATAATTCCAGGATGACGTTGACATTTCTTGCAGTACCAGCATTGGTTCATTCTCAATCTTAGACCTAATAGAATCCCCTAAACACTGCATGCAGTACTAACATAGCCAATTATTGTTCACTGTAGATTTCTGCGTGTCATTTTTTTTTATCCCCGTATGAAGCAGTTCGCACTCTTTCTGCTTTCAGATCATTCTTCTAACTTACTGAGGTTGTTTTGAATTCTAAGCTCCTTTTTGCCATTCCTCCCAGATTTTATAAATTTACTCTTTATTGTATCATCCAAGCTGTTAATGAAAATTTTGAATATTTTCCATATTCAAGAGTTTGGAAAAAGCTCCTTAGGGACAGTATCCCAAGTATGCAATTAATAGCCTTTTGGCCAGTATTTTTCCTTTTCTGTAGTAATTTACTTAGATCATATTTCCACTGGATTTTAGACACTAATTCTCCAAGTTTTCTGGATTCTTCTTTTGTGAATTCCATTCTTCTACTAATACTTTCTGGTTTTCCCTTGTTTTTCAAATGACGGTCTTTTCACAGTAACTTTCAAATTACTTTTCACACTCATATATTCAACCAGACCAAACTAATCATAATTAAATCTGAAATTGCCTTCTCCTTAGTTACCATCTCCATCTAAATCCATAGTCTTGGGTTCTGTTTTCCAAGGAAATGTTGGACAGCTTGTGTCCTGAAACATCTCTAATTCAGTAAAATATATCCTTGTTGCCACTTGGTCCTGGGCTCTCCTATGTAATAACTGTTCACAAAATGTCTCATCAGCCTATTCCAGATGTAGTGCTCAGAATTAGTAATACTGGGCTACTCTGCTATTAAATCAATTAATAATTTTTCTGCATTTTCAGTCTATCAACTCTCACCAAACCTAAATTATCACTGTAATCTCTCCCTCTCTATGTCTAAATGATTGGTGTGGCTGCCTGTGTTGTACACAAGAAGCCAATGAGAAGATGGCCCAGAGCCCTTTTTTACACACCACACCTCCCATATGAGGGAAAATGTCACCTATTTTGTATTGCTACATTAGCCATTTACTGTTTTAAAAGTAAAGACAGGTGGGAAGAACCCTGGGGAAGAATCTCGAGAACATTATGTATTTGCTTCTGAAGGGCAGGTGCAGGCAAGCATCCCTCTGATAAGAAATAAGAATGAGGTTCCAGAAATACTTAGTAAACAGATGGTGTGGCTTGAGATCTGCAAGACACTGGGCCATTTTTTTGCTGTTGAGACGCTGTCCTTCTTTAAGATGGTGTAGTTGACAACTTCCACAATGAAGTCTTGAAAAACATAATTAAAGAAGTGATGTTGGAATGAGAAAAAATGATGTAAATTGAGCTCAGGTTTTGGGTGATATTGAAGATATATTTTCAAATTACCGAACTATCATACTGCAGTAGTAAGATGAAAAGAATATTGAAAAGATGGTATTGACTAAAACTGCTGAATCTGAGCTTCAGCAAGATAAATTTCCCTCAAAGTAATCCAACATTAGACACTTGGGTGCAAAAAAAAACCAACCCCACTCGAAATCCCAAAACACAACCTCACCACTGGAACTATCCATTCTATTTCCTCTGAAGGGTTTGCAAGCAAAGAGGCGTTATTTTTGTGCTTGAACAACTGCAAGTGAAGTGATTTATAAATATGCTCTGAACAAAAGTGGACTTTAAAAATTTATTTTCATTGACCATACAAAAAAGAAAAACAGACAAGCAAGGTAATTTTTTATTTTAAACTGCCTGAATCTCATTTGCTTTACTATACCTTGCTCTATCTTTTTAAAATCTTTAAATTAATGATTACCTAAGTAGTCCTGTAAGTTTAATATTTTACTGTAACTATTGTAATAGGAATCTTGACCATTTACTTAATATTAAGAAACTATTGCTTGAATGGTTCTATTATTAAAAATAAATGCAGATTTTCAGTAGTTTAGATATCCGTTGTCTTCATAGAAAAAGTTCATCTTATTGTACCCATCACCATTGTTGTTTAGTAACAATGTTATGTTGAATCAAACTGGAAAAAAAGAGTTCCCTAAACTTCTTCCTATTAAAGAATAATGTTAATTGGTTAGTGTATATAGAAGAAGGTTATATGGCCCATTGACTTTATATAGATTGAAATGCTAAGCAGGGCTAAGTAGAAGCATCAGTAGGGAATAGAGGGTAAGCGCTCATCAGTTTTATGTTCTCTTTCCTATTTACTGCTTACCCCTTACAGTGTTTTACAACTAGATAAACAAAGTTTTCTTGGGTACTTCATAAATAAAAATTTATTTTTGCTTTTTTTGGCTAGCCTGCCAGGTCAGTTGTGTAGGAACGCCTACAGATAGGATGCCTAGGGGCAAACAAAGGAAAGGTATTTGCTAAGAAGAATCATCAGAGAGCATCCAGGCTAAGAAAGGGTGTCACTATTCAAGACCTTTTTTGAGTCTAAGAGACAGTCATTTCAATGGCGAAAGGATTGTAGACATTTGTAATGGAGACAGTATCTCAGGATGTTTGCTAAATGTGTCAGTTCCACCAGAGAAAAATGATGCAAAAATAGAGGGTAAGATCAAGTGACTTGGTTTAATGTAGATAAAAGAGGTCTGATTTACTGAAGAGTGCAAAACACAAAATAAAAGGGGAGGGGTGTGGTGTGTCACTGTGTTTAAAGGAGTTGCGGAATTTTTGCAGGTAATGAGTTATTGAGTGCCCATAGAGTAACATATTAAAAAAAGAAAACCCATCTTTTCCTTTGCAGTTGGGATAGTTTGGAGCACACATGTGATGAGTTACCAGAACTCAGCTGGTGCATGATAATATTTAGAACCATGTTAACTCAGCCTGTATGCTTTCACACAAGTTTCCACTACAGTTATTTCTTCTTTACTTGAGCAGAAAATCAGAATTAAGCTTTCTTATCTGTACTTGAAAGACACTAATGATAGTCTAGGGACTGATTCTTGTTCAGATTAAGGTTTTCTCCCACCTTCAGAAGGATAATGAAGCTTTCAGCTGAATATAAATATAACTCATCCAGTGTGGAGTGTGGTTATCTGAGTACAGGACTTTGTCTGTTGGATGTATCCTACCGAATACATTTTGCAAGACATTTTCAGGCTTCCTAAAAATGCCCTACTGAGACCTTCTATGCAGTGTGTGGGGTCTGAGATTGGAATTTTTTCTATTATTGTCCCCAGCTAAAAAAAGATATTCGTAATTAAAAGACCTCAACCTTTAGGAAATGCTTTTATATCCTGCTTAAACATAAGGCCTCGTCCTGGTCTCAGTGAAAGTTGATGGTGAAATTATAAAGGCAAATGAAAATGGATTCTAAAATTTTTTATCATGTTAAAATAAAAAGCCATCCTTTGAAATCCCTCTTATCTTGACATCAGGAAAAAAATGCTTCTAGTGTTGATTTGTGAGAGCTGGGGAAGATGCAGCAATTCTAGCTACCCTAGATTCATAGATAGATTTTTTTTCATTCTGCAGTCAGTCCCCCAAGAAGATGGGTTTCATTCAAGCCTAATAGGAGGAAGCTTTCTTGCAAAGAGCTGGCATTGAAAGTTGTGAAGGACCTGACACATTATAGCCATTTGCTGTCTCTAAAATGAAAGATACAACTGAGTTCTACCAATACTTGCCTTTTCCCTGCAATCACTAGAGAGCGATTGTGTGGTACACACACAGCTGGTACTAATGGCAGATTCCTTTCTCAGTGCTCTGCTGGGAATCTAGCATAGATGAATCCCCTGAAATTATACGATTTGCTGGTACAGCATTTTCCTTGCATCTAAGGAAACATTTCCTGAACACACGAGCACAGATTGAGGGGTGCTGAAATTTAAAAGAAGTCATGATCAAAGAGGAAGCACTGGCAAATGGAAGTAACTTTCTTAAAATTAGTTGTCTTATTTTAATATCTGCTTATATTTTTTTCTTCTGTCTCTCCCTGCAGAGGGACTTCCATCCGTCTTGGATGTCTCCAGACCCAAGTCCAGAAATCAGTCACTGCCTTCCCTAACATTTCTTGAGTATATTTCGTCTATTCCTAACTTAAGAGGCAGGTGTTTTGGTTTTGGGCCATAAGTCTTAGTGAAGTATTAAGGTGTACAAAGATAAAGAATCAAGACAAGAAGTAATTGATGTTCTTAATAAACTCCTATTCTCCTTACTATTAGTGAGAAATGATTTTTTTTATTATTATTATTATACTGTATGTCAAATATATAACGTGTCATACCTTGGTGTATAATTGTTGTTTAATTGGTGTTTTATTCCTTCCGTTGAAAATGATGTCAGGAATAAAATGTCAATATTCTTCTTGTAATTGACAGCTCATTTCTGTCATGTATTAAGGAGGATTAAAACATCAATTTAATGATGATAGTGTGACATTTTAGATATTTGACCCAAGCTTCAAATGATAGAACAACTCGTGGGTGGAGGAACTCTGTTCCTCTTATAGAAAGGATGCTAATTAGTTGTAATATTTATATGAGAAGAGGAATGAAAGAGAGAAGGGGAATTTGCCCTGTCAAAACGTTTGCTATTTAATATCAGTGTTTGGCAATCGATTATTAAAAAGGCACAGACACAGAGAATTTTGCAATAGTGGGAATATATAGATGATCTGTGTAGCAGTTAATATGTGTAAATTCTTGGATTTTGTCCACCAGTCCTCTGTTTGAATCCTTCGTTCTTCCAGGTGATAAAGTTCACAGCTTTTAACCCCCTGCTTTCTTCTCAGATGGAGGAGGTTATGGTAGGCAAGATAAACCACTCTGCATTCTTTCGTGTCTTCACTAGGGATTTCATTATCTACTTCCATGCAAAGCACTCATGGAGGTGGAGTGAACCACCATATGAGTAGCTGAACCTTCCTGTCCAAGAAGCCAAATGTCTATAAATCATATTCTGTATTTGTTTGTCTCTCAAAATGTTTGGCTAGGATTTTTTGGGTTTAAAACGGCTGAAGATAACTGGTGGAGCATTTCCTGGTTAGTTTTAATACTTGACCAGGGTGAAGGTAGATATAGACGAAGCATGGATGACAGAGAAACGGTCATAGTAGACTTCTCATAGAAGATAGAGTAGATCTGTGTTGGAATCTTCTGATGGGTCTGTCCAGCTATCTGAGAATCACAGCCAAAACATAGCTGCTGCTCTCCAAGTGAAGTCCAGATGTGATGGAAAGCTGGAGCTGATATAATGATTTCCATTTGCTGTATTTGGAAAACCCGGTAAAACGTCAAATTTCTGCTCCGTGTTATAATGGCTTCTCAGTTCTCTTTTGTCACTTAAACTACTTGAATTCTAAATATTTTGCAGTGCTTTCTAATGATATTCAGATGCCCCCTGTCCTGTTACATTTTATCTGCCTCTGTGAACTCTTCCTCACTGCCTAGTTCTTACATTCTCCCCCTTCCTTTACTGTATCTTCTACCAAAGTTTCATAATTACCTTTGTGCCTTTTCCCAGATGGCCTCCTCTGCATGATACTATCTAACTAGGTTCATCCTCGCACGTTAAAATCCCTGTTAAAGAGATGGGGGTTTTGTGCTGAATACACTGAAGCCAAATGTCCTAGGTATCAATTGCCTATTGTTCCATCTCTTCAGCTTCCATAGTGATCTGGTTTTGAATGAGGAACATCCTGGAAAAAGGGCTACCACTGAGAGGGTATTAGAAAAATAACTGTCCCTTCCCAGGTGCCTCTATAAACCAGCAGTCAATAGCTAATGATGATGGAAAGAAGAATTATCTATTACATGCCTGATCCTTCAAGTATGCAGTGAGATAAACTGTCCTTGCTCATGCAAACGGCTCCACGGATTTAAACAGAAAAGAACAGCTGTGTAGAACACCATTTTCTCTTAACATGGGATATACCAACAGCCTGATCCAGAACTCACTGGAAGCATTAGAAGTCTTCGCGTTGACAGAAATTATTTCTATTTTAGACATGAATAAATAAAACATAAAGGGCACTCAAAATTCTTACTTGGTAATTGTTATTGATAAAATCAATCTGATTGCCTTTCAGAACCTGAGTCGTGAACAAATGTAGACCGTAGGTGTGTATTTTTTGAAATCAGGCTCAAATGTTCCAGTTACTTGTGACTTGAATCCTTAATTGCAGGCCAGCACTTCACTGAATTACGTGTGGTTCAAGAACCTGTTCCAAAGAGTTTACTGTCACTGCAAGCAGTTTTTCTATTACTGAAATCTAGGTTGTAAAGGTTTTGAGGTTCAAAAGAAGCAAGCACAGAAGTATCATGATTGTGTATGATCACCATAGACAGCTGGTCAGACTAGCTTGTTGCAGAGATCCTGCTGGTCTCGTACTCTTACGAATCATTCTCTGCTGTATTGCAAATGACACCTTTGTGAAAGAGTTACAAGTTTTCCCCTCATATTACATTCTGGAGAAAGCTTGTCAAAACATCATTGTATTTATGCAGCACGATATTTTGTAGATTTAAAGATGTTTTAAAGCTTACTGTATTTCTGAAGCTTCCAGAATTGAAACTACACAAATGTGTAACTACATTTCTTTTGTCTTTTTAGTTCTCAAGGCAATTGTTTAACCTGTTTAGTTTCACACCAACATTTATCCTTTGATTGTCCTCGTGGTACTAATTCTCAATGAACTCTCATATTTTAGTAAAATGCTGTCAGTATAGATATAACCTTGTGAACTCCACTAATAATGCATAGACCAAATCATCCCAGAGTTTAAGAATTACTACAGTTACATATCTTGCCTTTTCTGTATGTATACTGAAAACCAACAGTGACTAGATAATAGGAGGCGAAAATAACTAGAAAGAAGAGAGACATATCTCTAGTCTAAACAAAACAGTGTATTTTTAATTGAAATAACATTCAGTAGAACTGAACATCAAAACATTTAACTTTTTCAAAGTTTTCAGCATTAAAGAATTAAGATGAAACACAATTAGGAAACAGAAAACTGCAACATTGTAGAGGATGGTCACTTTTTGTATGTCATGTGGCTTTAAAAACAAGTCAGATAAATGATGATGCCATTAAAACTGAACTAATTAAAGAAAGCTTCTTTTAAGAACTCATTAACTGCAACCTCATTTGCATAATGATGCATATTAATTAAGTTTTAATGAATCTGAATTTGCACCAAGCCTATTCATGTTGGCTTTGAAACAAATTGAACAAATTAGTTAAAAGCTTTTTGGAATCTACTTTTCACACCAAACAGGATATGAATGCAATCATCTCCACAAAAAAGAAATATTTTTCTTTTAATTTAATTCAAAGGTATGCAGACCCATCTATTAATTATTTTTAAATGCAATAATTTCCACCTTTTCTTTGCAAAATCAACAGTATTACTCATTCTTGAGCGGCATATATTATAAATGTATGTTGTGGGATAAAATCATTACAGCCAATTTATGAAAAAAAAGGTGGAAACATTTGACTTCAGGGTGCATTTAGTTTACTTAATACATGGATTTCAATTTTGTTGGTAACCTTTAGGTATTTTGGTTGTCTGCAGAGCAACCACTAAAACTGTATTTTTGATTTTGTTATCAATTTTTCCAGATATATGTAAAATGCTAAATTGCTCTTATAATACCTATTTCCTACTGTAAGATTTCACAGCATCATAAGTCTTATAATTGTTACAGGGGTAAAATAATTTCTAAGCTTTTAAAACTGCATGTTCTTGCTTTGGTGTTGTTGGATTTTTTTTTTTTCCATACACACAGGCATACACACACAAGAAGCAGAATCCAATTTTAACAAGTTTGCTTTCAGCTCATAATAAAAACAAGAATTACAGCAGAAACACTATTGATTTCCTTATACTCCGTTGTGTCTTCATCAAGAATGAAGAGATTTATGTAATTACTGCTCCATCTTTTGTTGTTAGAAAGCACTTTTTTGTAAGTCAGCAGATACAAAGGCTGGAATGCTTTTATTGTTGAGATTAAAAGATCATTTTTTTCTCCTTCCGTTAAACTGTTTTTCTGTGATAGGTTCTTCAGGGAGGTTGACAATTAAGAAGATACTATATACTGAAATCCCCCAGTTTTTAGCATTGTTTTTTCCATCATTTTGTCACCTTCTTTTCTTACTAAAAAAAGACCAAAATATACTGAACCCACCCCAAACCCTCCTCTCTTCAATTCTCTTTTGTTTCATTGTCCATGGTGGCATTCACTGACACTGAGCTGATACCAATGCAGATTTCCTGCAGCAAAGTACTATAAATCCTTTTAAACTTACTGGTACAAAATAGCAAGATGTATTATTGCCTGCTAATGTTTCTACCTTTTGGTTTTCCTTCCCCTGACATCAACAGCTTATCTATCCCATTCATTAATAAACTTGAACATTTAATATCTGACGGATTTAAGGACTGTGTTCTAGAATTGTGTTTTCAATGGTGCGAATCTCTCCTGAGTGTCCATTCCCTTAGTGGAAACTAGCTGTACTGTAAAAAGCAGTGAAACTACTGCCAACATTTTAAGGAATTGCATTACTGGGTTATAGAGGCAAACAAATGCCTCGTTATATTGTGGTTATTTGCCTCACAATTAATGAAGTAACTGTATGGAAAACTTTGGAGTGCTAAAAGAAATGAGAGTTAGATCATGACTGTGAAAATGGGAGAGGCTCATCTTGATTTTCTTTACAATTATTATCAAAATTTCTACCTTATAACCCCCCTTTCTCCCATAGATTTCATTTTGAGAAACACATTGTCTTAAGTTGCGTATCATTGTTCAGGGTAACAATGTCATCAAGGCTAAGGGAATTGTAGACTTCTCTGTGATTTTGAGGGCAATGGTTATATTCTACAGTCACTTTAAAAGAAGACATTTCCCCATTTTTAACCTTTTTTTATTCTTGTACTTTTATAGTGTACTGTAACTTGAAAACAAAATGAAGCTATTAAATATTTTAAGTACCATCTGATTTCCAAATAGGAATAAATTTTTATGAGA